AAGAATGTAAATTTCTTAATTTTTGTGTTATGATCCAAAACATCATATATTAAGTAACGGAGGGAGTAAAATTTATCAATAAATAAATATAATTTGATTGTATATACTATCCAATTTTATAATAATATTTATGTAGCTTATAATATTACTAATTTAAAATTTATAAATTTGAATTTTTGTAACAATTTTTTAAAAACATTATTATGTAATATTACTAATTTATATATTTTATTTTATTTCTAAATTTTAAATATATAAAAAAGTAAATTAAATTGGACCTACATAATACATAAACAAAATTTTGGGATATTGTTAAAAGTATATTACATAATTTTAATTTTTTTGTTAAAAAAAGAATTAAATTTCAATTATATTCTATGATAATTAAATTTTTAATCAAATAATTTTTGAAACTATATCTTGAAAATATTCTATAAGATTTTTAAAAGATTTTTGTTAGAATTTTCTTAAAATTATTTATTTGTATTTCAAATAAAAATTAAAGATATGAAATCATATTATAGTGATGTTATGTAAATTTATATAAAATTTCTAAGGATGGTCCAAACTAAAAAATTACACATGAAGTGAGTCATGATTTCTCTTTTAATATAATAGATACTAGGTGGACGGCCCGCACGCCTGTGCGGACTTTAATATAACTATGCATGGCATAAAAATTGATATGAGTGTATAAATGTATTGTAACTCTCTTTCTCTTCTACGTAAGTATTCCGTTTTTCCTTGTATATCTTTCTATCTAATTCATTTCGGTTTTTTTTTTCACACACATTCATTCTGTCTCTTTTGTATCTCTATTCCCATTATTTTTGTTTGTCATTGTACTCTTTCGCTTGCTTTCCTTTTTTTTTCTCTCTTGATCAAATAATCTTAAAATCTTTCAAACTTACATTCATTCTCTCACAATCATTTATATTCGCTCATATTTATTATAACCGTCAATATTTTACTTTCAAACTTTTTCTATTTCTTTTTTTGATACAAATTTTTTACCAGATTTTGTTAAATCTTCAAAACCCTCTCACATAATATTAATAAATGATTTCATGATGTATCTCACTTACATTCAGTATCTCACTTATTTCACTCTCATATCCATCATGATTTTAACCCTCACTCCTCATCATCAACATCTCTCCCTCTCTCACCTATTTTTTTATTTAGCTTTTAACGTAAAACTCACAATTGAACTCACTCCTCATCATCAACATCTCTCCCTCTCTCACCTATTTTTTTATTTAGCTTTTAACGTAAAACTCACAATTGAACTCACAATTGAACTCACAACAAGTTAACCAAACAAATTCATTATTAAATGCTCTCCAATTTTCACACTATCTTATCAAATATTAATTCATTTGACCAAGACTTTCATTAGAAAATAAATATATTTTTAAAAATATTTTTGTTGAATTATTTCAATACACACCTATTTTAAGTAAATCTGATTTATTGTATTTCAAAAAAAAATGATTGACTAATTATATATCCTAAAATATCTAAACTTTTAAATAATGTGATGTCATTAGACATAGATATATCAAAATAACATGTTTCTATTTGTATAAATTTTGTTATAACTTTGTTATCATACATTTTTAAAAAATTATTATACCGCAAAAAATACTTATCATTATTTTAAATGATTTTTTTTTGTAAATTTAATTTAGGTTATATTTTGCATTTTCGACATTAATAAATATAGAACTGAGCATTTATATTTATCTTCCTTACTCAATTTTTTTTATGTTGTATAAACACCTAAAACTAATTAGTTTACAATTATACTAAAATATATCGGTATACAAATAAAAATGATGTAGGAAAAAATATAAAATCAGGAAAAATACAAAAGAAAAGGTTTTATTATTATTCACTCATGTTTTTTTATTTATGTCTATTTTTATTATTAAAAATTAACATGCCAATTTTATTATACTCAAAGCTATATGAATAGAATAACTCTAGTCTCGTATTAATATAATTCAACTATAATACCCATTTTTTTCATTGAAAATGATTGATTTTTTTTATTATATATTTGACTATTTTAAATTTATTTGGTATTTTTTTAAAATATATGTATATCGTGGGTATAATTATTATTAGGTTTATATTTATTATTGCATTCACTAAAAATATAACATATTTTAATATTTTTGGATCATCATTTTTTTCCGGAGAGACTAAGATTTGCAAATATCCGTTTATATTTAAATAATTTATGTAATGTAATCTATGATAATAAATTGCTTTAATGAATAAATTATGTTAAATTGTTTATATTTAAGATGTCTAGTTGTTTATTTGGTAAGATAGTTAGATAAGGTAATTATATTATTAGTTTCCTTTTTAAAATCTTTAATTAAATAAATAAAAATTCAAATATCAACAACCAATCAAATTAAGAGAATTAATTCTAAACTTCACATATGAATGACACCTAAGCAAAAATCACTAAAGGGATTTCTCATTTAATATATAGTAGGATATTTTCAACTGCAGCACTTAAGACTTTAAAAACTAAATATAATTACCGGTTCGGTAATGCTCTGAACAATTGGGATACTTTCAAGATATTCTCAGCGGAGCAAACATAATTACAACAAAACAGGATCTCACAAAATGGTATCAAACACGGGTCTAATTGACTAATGAAAATTGAATTTTAATAATCTATAATGTTATTTGATCAAAAAATAAAATAATCTATAATATTAATAACAATCACCTCTAAACATCTACTTACAAAAAGTTGCTGCATCTACTCATTAATTATTTGTTATATTTTGATCTTATCTTAATTTTCTCCAACTAATTAACTATAAAGATACTTTACATAATTTAAATGAACTCATTTATTACTCGACATAATCTATTATATAATAACTTAAACAATATATTGACATCAAATATAAGTTCTAATGAGAAATTTTCTAATATAATGGTTTACTAGATTTTTGATGAGAAATTTTCTAATATAATGGTTTACTAATGAGAAAGTTCTATATAGGTTCTAATGAGAAATTTTCTAATATAATGGTTTACTAGATTTTTGATCCGCGCTTAAAAAGTGTGGATACTATTTTTTTGTTTTATCTATAAATGGATAAAAAATCTTTTATATTGATGGTATAAAAGGTTACATGATTAAAGTCAAGTGTCAATTATGCGAGTATGAAGAAAGTTTTAAAAAACGCGAATACTTTTTTGTTGACCGTAAAACCAAATATTAAATGTATTTATAACTATTATTATATATCTATAATATTTAAGAGTGTTCTATTATTATTATTTCTGTTTGGTAAAATATTTTCATTGAATTTTCATATCCGAGTGAGACTTATTGATTCATTTGTTGATATATTAATAAATATTTCTGTACATAACATTTGATCATGAATTTAAGTTATTGTGGCTGTTAATGCAGAACATCTCGAATGCATATAATGCTACACAAGTTCTTTTTAACCCTCCAATAAAGGAGGCAGAAGAGTTTATAAAAAAGTGAGTGTTTTTTATATCATGAATTAAGGCAGAACATGTTAAAAAGTTGTTGCTATGCATTTGTGATAGATGAGATTCAAATCCCGAATACATATTAAGGCTGATGAGCATTATTTTGCAAGAATATTCAAAAGTATTTTGAAAGAGAATTAGTCCATTAGTCAAACTGATTAAATAAATATTGATTGTACTTAATTATATAGTTTTAGGCCTAAAAAACAAAAGATTATAATGCCATTAATGAAAATTATAATTTGTTCATAACATTATGGATAATTTTTAAAAACGCAAATATTTTATTAAAGAAAATGATCCACTTTTAATGGTATTAATACATATTCAAAGAGGACATCGAAGATGTCTTATTAAAAAAATTGAAAGTGTAAAACGTTCTCGCTTGAGCTTTTTTTTTCGAAAACGTTGTTGTTTAATATTAATACAACATTTAAAAATTATATGTTTTCTAATCAAAAGCTTGTATTATTGGGTTATTAGGTCGACGGAGAGTTGGGTCAGGGTCAAAAGTTTTAATAGTTTTAATACAAATTTACAAATAGCAATATTAAAAATGAAAGACGATGATTAAAAATGTAGGAAAAATTTAAAATTTATTTTCTTTACTTTTTTCTATTTTACATAAAAATATAAAATATAATTTGAACATTTTTGTAACAAGTTGGAATTAAAACAAATTAATATATAATAAGATTTAAATTAATAAGTATTTAAATATAAATGCATATATTGAAAAAAGATTAAAATAAGAAAATAACAATTTAAATCAAACTGGATTACATATCGGTCACTCATCAGTTGAACAAAGTTTAGATATTTTTTGTGGGATTTTAAATAATAGATATTTAAAAAAAAATCAAATTCGGATACAAATCTGACCATTAGATTTATCGGTTCGATCGGTGATCCAAAAATATAAAATCGCTGATTGAAAAGCAAAATTTTTGAACAGAAAATTTATTTCTAAATTAACAAAACATTTGTAAAATTGTTAATAGAATTTTTCATCACAAATATCCCGCGTTTTCAAAACGCGGATCAAAATTTAATTTTTATATTATGACACAGGAATTTTCAAATCCAAAATAAAAAAATTTTATATCAAATAATAAGTTATAAAAATTGTATATATATTTTTTATAATACGAGTTTTCGTGTGATATCACACATGGATTACTTACTTAGTTATTACATATATATATGAATCTGGTCATTACGTTTTCCTTTCCTTTTAGGAAAGTAAATATTTGCATATACTCCATTTATTCACATACATGTATTATAGGTGTAATTATATTGCTATATTCTTCATAATAAATACAAATATATATTTCTATATAGATAAGATTTTATGGATGTATATTATTGTATTGCCAAAATAAGCAAATTGTCATTGTTATCTCATTGTTGTATTTAAACTACACCTTAGGGACCGTGAAAGAACAAAAAAAGCAATTATGAAAGAACAAATCTTTTGTCAGTTTCTAGTGGTATGTATATTGTTGTGGTCATCTCAGATTCAGGGAAACAGATGTGACGATTCAGGCATCGAAGCTTTGAGGGCTTGTGGAGATTCTATCGACAAGAAGCTGCCATCTCCTCCGAAACCATTGGAAGGTTGTTGCACTGCTGTCCGAATCATTGGGATGAAATGCGTCTGCGAAGTCATCAATAAGGAAATCGAATCATCCATTGATATGCAAAAACTCGTCAATGTCGCTGCTGCTTGTGGCCGTCCACTTGCTCCTCGTTCACATTGCGGAAGTAAGTCCTAACGTAACCCATTCTGTCTTCATTTTTTTTATCCGGATACACATTGGATTAGGGCTGGGCATTTTATCCGTTATATTTGATTCGATCCGTTATTCGTTGCGATTCGATCCGAAAATTCCGGATATCCGTAAACTTTCGAATCAAAGCAAATACTAAAATTCAATATCCGTTAAAATCGAAGCAAATCACAAATATTAAAATTTTTGAAAGCGGATATCCGATCCGATCCGTAAATATATAAATATATGTATATTTTGATTATATTTAAAATTTTAATTGTATAAAATTATATAATTATTAATTTAGCACATGATTTTGAACAATTCTATTCAAATTATTACTTATATAAAAGTATTACATAAAAAGAGATAAATATTTTTGACAATTATATTTTTTCTTAAATTTTGTGTTATTATAATTGTAACTTAAACTTTAAAAAATTACAAATCTATAAATTCACTAGTTGTTTTAAGTTTTATTTTATATATCATGAAAAAAAATATTTTTGCAAAGCAAATTTGTATCAAAATCTTAAGATTATTTGTACTAATTAAAATGGATGAGATATCCGTAAATATTCGTAAATATCCGCAAATATCTATTTATTTTCCGGATATCCGTTTTTCCGGATATCCGTATTTTTTCGAAGCAAAGCAAATACCAAAATTAGATATCCGTAACTTTCGAAGCAAATCACAAATACCTTAAAAAACCCGAATATCCGATCCGTGCCCACCCCTATGGACAACTATTCAAACCCTTACAACTAAAACCCATTAATTAATGTGTTATGTATATCAGTATATCACCATATCCCTAGTTGTCCAAAACATCAAATATCGAAATGAAAATTATATATATTTATTCTGTGGTAACCTCGAAAACAGAATATCATTAGTAGGTAATTTAATAATATTTTATAGATTATACCTTTGATTTCCTTGTGATTACTTTTTTTCCAGGTTACCTAGTTCCTGGTATGGCATGATGAATGAAGCACCATGAATAAGTTAATGTGGATTTTTTTGTCTAATTTAATTTTGCTGTAAGGGTGATTCAGAAATTACAGATATATGGAATTATGCGCTAGTAATTTGAAGATCATTCGCCATTTTCTATCTTATTGTCCGTACTTGGTATGGCTTAGTCAATAATTGATATATGCTATAATATATGTCTCCAAAAACATTTACTTTATCATAATGGCTTTTCATAGAATCCCAACATCCTATCTATCCAACCTCATCAGGAGCAGATAACGGAGGATGATGATCAAAGGTGGTGATTAGTACACAACCGTGATGATGCGTTAAAAATAGTTAAGAGTGGACACGATTTGAAGATTCATGATTATAATTTTTATTTTTATTTTTATTTTTATTTTTCTCCAATAGATTGGAGGTTAATCACTCTCAAGCACTTACACGAGTACAAACCCTAGCTGTTTTGTAAACTTTACATGGCCGACACACATTACCTTTGTTAGTAACCTCGAAAACCAGAATACATTCTTGTTTCACGACCGTCACGTTTCCTTTTAACCCTAGAATATGATCGGTCCATTCCGTAGATAATAACCCCGAGGGATCCAATCTCTCCTTTACTTTCAGAAACAAGTTTGCGTTCTTGTACTTTCTAATGGCACCATCAAACGCTAGGTTCCTATTCTTGCCCCAGTGTGGTAACGCATTGTACTTTAACAGCGCCATTTGTTCGATCTCTTCGATAAAATCCTCGTAGAGACAAAGGTGTCAAAGGATCATCCTTGCTTCTGTAGTAAGTTAGGTCAAAGTTTAAAGCTTTTTCTTCCTTACCGAGAAAGGCAGGAGAGGATGTGACATAACGGATGAGAACACCATAGTTTAGTTCAAGGCCACAAAGAGATTTCGGTTCGATCTTCACAAGTGCTTTGACGTCGCCTATGAAATCTTTGACATGTGTCAGAGGAATGCTGAATGTTGTTTGATGAACAAACTCGCCTTTTATGCGTGGATCCCACGTGAACAATCCGTTACGGTCTTGGTTTCCGACATAAGGCCTGCGGTGGAAGTTACAATGGATCATGGATACGTAAAAAAAAACATAAGAATAAAAAAACCATAAGAATCATATACTATATTCGAAAAAGTCAAGAGATGTAGAGAGATTGTACCATTATTGGTCACACGGAATGAGATTCCAAACAAAAAGTATGATAGTTGTCTTGCTTTCACACACTTTCTGTTTGCATCTCCAGACAACTCGTCACTCTCCTCTACATGAACCAAAAACATATAAGAAGCGGTATAGTTAACCATGTCAACATATATATATTAAATAAAGAATGAACCTAAGGATCTGACGAAGGCAACGATCACAGAGGCTTGTGAACGAAATGGGAAGAAACTGAACACGCTATCTCCCGAAGCGTTGGTCGGAACTCGGTCATCAATTCGATACACAACTTTGCCTTGGCTTGGTAACCACAAGAAATCTGCAAATTCGTGGTTTTTACCAAAATTTAAGGCTTGATCTCCAAAGTCCGAATCGTTTCTCATAACATACGTTAGTGATCTCTTGAACATTGGTTGCAATTTAAATGTTACCTTTCCAAATATATCAATAAGAGAATAAATATATATATATATATATATATTTGTTTGTAACACAAACAAAGAAAATATAATTATAATTACAGTCGAAATAATATTATATACCTGATCAGAGATAACACCAGAACTCCTAAAGACACTTTGGCTGCGTTGAGTTCTTCAGGATTCATACCCGTCAGAAACTGAACCGGGACTCACCATTCTCATCTCGGTCACGTGATCGTGAACCGCACTTCCTTTACCCCACAGTGAACTCTCGTGAGCACCCGTTCCCATCATTCCTCCAACCGTTAGTCCCCACCAGTAAGTTGCGTATGGCAAAGCAAGCTTTAACTTGGCCGCTTCTTCGATCAGCTGCTTTAGCGTCACGCCGCTTTCAACCGTCAAAGTCTTGGCCTTGGAATCGGTTTGCACCACGTTGTTTAGGAACTTGGTGCTTATGAGCATCCCGTCGTTGCCGTAAGTGCAGACCAGCTTGGGGATGCTGTTAGAGTACCGAGTCACAACCCTCATTTTTTGGCAGGCTCTAGTGGCTGCAGCCATCACAGAAAACTAGCTCAGCCTCTGTTCTTGGGTATTCCACCTTTGCAGCTTCGCATAAAGATGTTGGAAATATTTTGAAAATTGTGAATAGTGTATTCATATGTCAAAAAAATAAATTTGGTTAAATGAGAAATGTTCATCCAAAGTCATTGAATTGGAAAGCTTGACATTTTAGCTATGTTTTAAATATCCCACATAAAAGCATGAGGTGGTAGGCCTCTTGTTTATGTATGGAAAAGTAATAACATGCTTAAACAACCTTGTGGTATAATGGTGAAAGATATACCCGATTAAAATTTATACACGAATTAATATTGAAATCAGTTTTGTGATTAATTTATTTTGTTAAATAGAAAAATATCTTTACCATTGATAGCAAAAAGGTTTTTGACTTGGTTCATAATGGATTCAACTTTTTTTTTGGATTTTTAACATAAAAACCCCTCAACAAACCTTGTTTTGGGTAAAAATCCCTAAACTAAGTATTTAACGGAAAAACCCCCAAATTAACTCTATTTAATGAATTAAATCCTCGCCGGTGATAGTTATCATTACTATCAGTAAATCTTTAGTTTAGGAGTTTTATCATTAAACATAAGAAATCAAAATATAATAACATTATCTAAAAATTTGTAATTTTAATTTTCAAAGCTATCATTTTAAATTTTTTTGTAAAATATGAGTGATTTGTTATCCTTTTAAAATGGATTTTTAACTCTAAAATACCTCAACTAAGTTTTTTTGGGGTAAAAGCCCTCCAAATTAACAAATAAACCCCTATATCAAGTAAACATAGTTAAAGAGTTTTATCATTAAAATAAAAAAAAATATAAGATTATCAAAAAAATTAGTAACTAAAATTTTTAAAATTAGCTTTTTTAAGATTTTCTGTAAATATATGATTTTGATTTGTTTTAAACATCAAGATTATATATATATTAAAATTGTAAAACACCAAAATATAATAAAAATTATCTCAAGATTTATTATTAATTTTTTATTAGATAAGATATAATTTTTATTCTATTTTATTGTTTTTTACATTTATAACTTTTTGATAATTTTTATTACAGGTAAATCTTTAGATAATTGTTTTTATATTTTCTGGGTTTTACATTTTAAATTTATACATATATAATTTTGATTTTAAAAGGATAGCAAATCATACTCATATATTTACAGAATTGTTTTGAAAATTAAAAATACAAAATTTTAGATAAATTTATTATATTTGATTTTTTTTTATTTTTAATGATAAAGCCCATAAACTAAAGATTTACCGGTAGTACTTGTAATTATGTCCGGTGAGGGTTTAATTCATTAAATAAAATTAGTTTGAGGGTTTTTTTTGTTAAATACTTAGTTTATGGGTTTTTCTCCAAAACAAACTTAGTTGATAGGTTTTTATGTTAGAAATCCTTTTTTTTTAATGGATTCAACTTAGGGGTTTTTGCAAATTTGACTCAAAACTCATGGTCAAACACAAAACTAACTTTTTCTTTTATCTCATCTTGTTTTTGTCCTATTCACCCCACATCTTCATTTTATTTACGAAAATGCCATTAAATTTTTTTTTTACTTTTTTTTCGAAAATGGCCTTTTTACTCTCTCAACCTCATCATCTTCAAGTATTTACAACATTGCCATTGCCATGAATACTCCCAACAACCTTGTACAACCCAACAACCTTGTACAACCAAGGTTTGAAGCTTTTAATGCACTTAAAATCGATACTCATACTCTCTTTCTCAATTGTTATGAACTAANTGGCCTTTTTACTCTCTCAACCTCATCATCTTCAAGTATTTACAACATTGCCATTGCCATGAATACTCCCAACAACCTTGTACAACCCAACAACCTTGTAC